TCACAGCCGCCCTACACTGCAGTGCTTTTACTGTCTTTGTCTTACAGAGGAGAAAGCTGAGGCACAGAGAGGTTAAGGCACTGGTCCTGGGTCACATAGCTGTGAATTGGCTGAGCAAGCCCCGGTCATTGGTTACTGACTTAATGCATCAAGGTCCACTGACGTCCATATCTACCCACATCCCAGGTTTGCCCCTTACTCCACCCTGGCCCAGCCTCTCGTCCTGACCACTGGCTCTAGGGACCCTTGGACACCTCCAGACCCTCACACGCTTTGAGGGCCTCTGCTGCTGGGTCAGACTGTCCAGCACTCTGTGCTCCACCCCCATCCGGGTAAGACTGGACTCTAAGTGCAGAGAGACCTAGGGGAGGGTGTTCAAAGGCCCCCCTCACCTCCCCTGTGGCTGTCACAGGGAGAATGGAAGTGGCAGGAAGCCAGGAAGAAAAAGGGCAGGGGCAGGAGATTTCGGGGCCTGGCCCCAGGGAGGGCTGTAGGGGGAGGGGGAGAGAGTGGAAAATTGGGGCATGTTAGAGATCCCAGGGACAGGATGTGATGTGGCAGGGAAGTCTGGGCCTCTGCTCCACTCCCTAGACTAGGAGATCCTGGGGGTGGGGCCCAGACAGTGAAGCCTCTTGGGGCCCTTGTATCACCCAGAACAGAGTGTGCTCAGGCGGATCAGAGAGTGTTGGTGAATATGGCTGAACTGGGGGGCTGCAGATTGGTGGCCCTGGGGTTCGGTAGACCCAGGGAACTCTTTGCCTTTCTCTCTCTCTTTGTCTCTAAGGGGCCCCTGGGTTTTTCTGGACATCTGTGGGGTCTTTGAATGTCTCTGTGGGTCTGTGAGTATTTCTGGGGATATCAATGCCTCTGAATATTTCTGAGGATCTCTAGGGGGTCTCTGAGGGTCTTTGAGGGTTTGAAGATCTCTGGGCATCTCAGAGGGTTTCTGAGGGTCTTTGGGCATTTTGAGGTGTCTGTGAGGTTCTCAGGATTTTTTTAATGTTTATGGGGGTCTCTGAGGGTCTCTAGATGTCTCTAAGGATCTGTGTGCATCTCTGGGGTCTTGGGGATCTCTGAGTCTTTCTGGATGTCCCTGGGGGTCTCTGAGGGTCTCTGGGTATCTCTGAGTATCTCTAGGGGGTCTCTGGTGTCTCTCTGTCTTGGGCCATCTCTGGGGAGTCTCTGGAGTTCTCTTTGCTGATAGGCTGGCCATGCCTGGGATTCAGGTCTGGGACTGGCTCTAGGTGCTGCAGCATGTGACAGCAGAGGGATCACAGAGATGTGATCAGCCAGGGTGGGGGCCATCAGAGCCAGAGCTGCCCACTTTCCAGACGTTTGTGCATGGCCTGGACTGGGACTACAGCAGACTCTAGGCCCTTCAAGCCTCAGACTCCATCTGATATCCAGATCTCCAGGCTCCCCCCAGGCCCCAGGACCCCCTCACCTCAAGCCCCCCAGGTTCCTAGACCCACCTCCAAAACTCACTACCCAGTCCCTGAGACTGCGTGTCCCCACACCCTGTAGCCACATGTCCGGTGCTTTCTCATCTCTTCCTTTTTTTATTTTTTTAAAAGATGACCGGTAAGGGGATCTTAACCCTTGACTTGGTGTTGTCAGCACCATGCTCTCCCAAGTGAGCTAACCGGCCATCCCTATATGGGATCCGAACCCATAACCTTGGTGTTATCAGCACCGCACTCTCCCAAATGAGCCACGGGCCGGCCCCTCATCTCTTCCTTTTTTAAGAGGCCTCACAGCTGGCCTCTGTACCCAGGCCCTGGTGCCTCTCTGCCCACTCGTCCTGAGCGTTGTCTAGGAGCCTGTTGGTTGGTTTCCGTGTTTGACTGAACGGGGTCACTATGATTTGCACTCACGGAAAGTTATAGGTTCGAAAATGAAAACTATAGAAAATAGAGATTATCAATAAAGAGACAGAAATTATATATATATTTTAAAAAAGCTATAGAAAGGTACATGGGAGATTCTTCCCCCCGCCTGCCACTGAGAGGTAAGCATGGGTGTTTATTTCCTGTGTTTTTTTTATGCAAATGTAATCTAGAAACCTTCTTTTTTCTTTTTTCACTTATCATCTGTGCTATAGACTGAAATTTTGTCTGTCCTCCAAATGTATACGTTGAAACCAATGAGATCGTATTGGGAGGTGGGGCCTTTGGGAGGTGATTAGGTCATGAAGGTGGAGCCCTCATGAGTGGGATCAATGCCCTTACAAAAGGGATCCCTTATAAAAATCGCTCCTTCTGCCATGTGAGGACACAGCAAGAAGACAGCCTCCTGCAGACCAGGAAAGTAGTCCTCACCAGACACCAGCTCTGCTGCTGCCTTGCTCTTGGACTTCCCAGCCTCCAGAACCATGAGGAATAAATGTCTTGTTTATAAGCCATGCAGTCTATGATATTTTTGTTCTAGCAGCCAGAACTAACACTTGGAGACATCTGCTCTCTACCCAGACCTGCTCCCACCACAAGACCTTTGCACAGGCTGTTCCCTTTCCTGGATGCCTTTCCTTGCACCCCGCCTCTTACTCACAAGTTCTTTGCTCTGTAAAGGCTTCCTCCATCATCCCATCGGAAAGTCACTGCCTCCCTCCCTCCCTGATTCCTGCCTTTATTTTTCTTTGCATCCTTCCCACAACCTGCATGTTATATATTTTTCTGATGGCTGCTGCATGTCACCACCTGCACGTTGTATACTCTCCTGATGGCTCCTGCATGTTGCCTGTCTCCCTGACAACAAGAGCCCCACGGGGGTGGGGGGTGGGGATTTTTGTCCATTTTGTTCACAGCTGTATCTGCAGCTCCTAGACTGGTGCCTGGCACATAGCAGGAGCTTAATAAAGGCTTATAAGGAAATGAATGTGTCTTTCCTTATGGAAAATAAAACTGTAGAGATCTATAGTTTCACTCTCATGACTCTGTGGCACTTCCCGAGATGGATGAACTATTACTGATCTAACCAATCCCTCAGGTTGCTTCCAATCTTTTTTTCGTGTAACAAACATTGCTGCGAGGAATCATCTCATGCCTGTGTCATCCTCTCGCCCTCTCTTTTTTTATTGTGCAAAATACACATAACATAAAATTTAGTCATTTTAAAGTGTACAATTCTGTGGCATTCAGTACATTCACAATGTTGTGCAACCATCACCTCTGTCTAGTTTCGGAACATTTCCATCCCCCCAAAAGGAAACCCCATCCCCATCAGCAGTCATTCCGCATTCCCCGCCCCCAACCCCCGGCAACCACTAATCTGCTGTCTGTCCGTATGGATGTGCCTGTTCTGGACATTTCGTATCAATGGAATCACACACTGTGTGGCCTTTGGTGTCTGGCTTCTCTCACTCAGCGTCATGTGTTCAAGGTTCATCCACGCTGCAGCGTGTGTCGGGGCTTCATTCCTTTCATGGCAGGTTAACACCCCACTGTATGGATGGATCACGTCTTGTTTCTCCACTCACCTGTTCACATGCCCGTCACTTTGCAAACATGCAAGTATCCGGGGACGGAGTCCCAGGAGTGGGCTTGCAGGCTCAGCAGGCACATGAATTCATCACTCCGGCGGCCTGTACCCGGTGCCCTCTACCAGGGCTGCACCTCGGACACTCCCTTCAGCAACTCATGGGGGTGTCTATTTCCCCACAACCCGGGCAGCACAGAGTGTCATCACCCTTTTGGATTTTTGCCAGCCTGATAGATGAAAGCAAACAGTATCTCAGAGACGTTGTGATTTGCGGTTTCTTATTAGGAGTCAGCATCTTTGAACACGTTGAAAAGGATTTACTGGGTTTTTTTTTCCGAGTCTCACTTCCAAACCTTTGCTGCTCCTCCTAGTTGGGGCATGGAAGGAACAGAAGCTGAGGAGGGGGGGAAATGTGGAGGAGGGACTCCCAGCCTCCCAGAGTCCAAGAGAAGCTTCTTAGCATTTTCCCCTTTTACAGATGTGGAAGCTGAGGCACAGGGAAGTTAAGGGGCTAGAATGGACTTGAACCTGTTCTGCCTGACACCAGGACCCCAGTGTGCTGAGACTCCCCCAGCACCCCCCTCCTCTGTCTCATGGATGTCACTACCCCTTAGGCCACTGTTTCCCTCTGGGACCCCGACTTCCTCCCCGGGGTGCCACCTCCAGACACCAGGATCACTCCAGAGGGAGCTTTTGACTCTTGCCCCTCCTCTGCTCACATGCCTGTGGCTCCCCATGGCCTTGGGGATAAAGCCTCACTCCTACCAGTCCCTCTTGTTAGCCCCTCCGCTCCAGCCACTCCACTCCTGACCATGTTGTCACAGCCAGCTATGCTTTCTCAAGCCACCGGACTTGTGCTGTGCCTCCTGCCTGGGGTCTGCAATGGGCTCCTCTCTGCCTGCTGCTTTGAATCATCTTCTAAGCCCCATTGTACATGAGCTCCAGCTCCAAGTCCGTGGGGGAGGCTAGGAGCTTGGAGAGCCACGTGTTGAAGCCCCAGCTCTAATGTCCCCTTCTCTAAGCCTTCCTGGACCCTGTCTCTACCTCTGGCCCTGCCCTGACTCCATGGGAATGGGGGTGTCTGTGCTCTGTCCTGCTCTGTCCTCTCCCAAGATGGGGTGCTCTTTGACGACCTGCCCAGGGCTGATGCTTCTTGGGAGCCCAGCATGGGTGATGTTTGTTGAATGAATAAATGAATGCATGGGTTGAAAGTCAACTGAACCAAGATCAGAAAGCCAACTGATGAGGTGGCAGTCCCTTGGAGTGCTAATGGGGGACATGTAGTCACTGGGTTCCAGCAAGAGGGAAGTGGGACCTTGGGCCGCCACTCCCCATCTGGCGACAACCTTGAGGCCATGCAGGGAGGCGTGTCTCTGTGTCTTCATTCTTCCCCTCTCCACTCCACCCAGACACCAGTTCCTCTTCCTCCTGAGTTGCTGGGTGCAAAGCCTCAGGAGCCCCGGGGACCACGGCACATTTGTGAGGGGTGCCAGCTGCTCTGGTCCCGTGTCCAAGTAAGCCACGACGCAGCCCCTGCAGACTTCCAGCAGCACTGAAGCCAAAGCGTGGCAGCAGGACCTGAAAGGTAGGACGGAGACACCAGAACTTCCCTTGTGGAGGGGCAGCAAACCAGAATTGGGGGAACCCTTTCAGCAGCCCCCATCCCCCCATCCCCAGACTCCCCAGCGACCCTGGGTTCTGGGAGAAACAGCGGAGGGGGTGTCACGGGGAGGTTGGGGCAGGGCCGTTTCCGGGGTAACCACTCATTTGCCTATGGTCCTGTCTTGGCCAGTGAGGGCACCCAAAATGTTCAGGGACTGAGCAAAGCCTGGATTACGTACCCATTTTCCAGAAGGGGAGACTGAGGACGGGGCCCAGAGCCAACCAGCTAGGGGTGACAAGCCCGAGGCTGCATTTTACCATTTCAGAAGCAGCTTGAGCTGGTCTGAGTTATAAAAATAAGAGTGATAATAATAAACACAGGCAGTGAGGATGACCACAGGGCTGAGGTCGGGGCTTGGATTCTGCTGTCTCTGCCTAGGTTGCTTAAATGGAGAGCACCCTGTCGTGGGTGCTGTGGTTGCCGCTTCTGCTGCTGCGAGGTCTAAGCAGCCAGGAACTTTCCTGCAACGTGTTCTCTGGGGATGTGGACTGGACCAAAGAGTTCTCCAACACGTGCCTGAATTTCAGTGGACAAAGCCTGAGCCTACCCCGGAACCAGTCTCTGAGGGCCAGCAATGTGCTCGTCCTTGACCTGTCTGGGAATGGTCTGCGAGAGCTCCCACCCTTCTTAGCCCACCTGGAGAAGCTGCAGTTCCTGAATGTGACGCACAACAGGCTGGCGCATGTGGATGGGGCGCTGGCAGCACGCTGTGGCCTTGACCTGAAGGCTGACTGCAGCTGTGTCCTGGCACCCTGGCATGAGGTCCGGGAAAACAACTGCTCCACACAGCCGCCCCTGCGGTGTCTGGACACAAGCACTGGTGCCTGGCACAACCTCTCTGTTTTCCTGGAGGTCAACTGTGCACCCGGCCTGGCCCCAGCAACCATCGGGGCAGTGGTGGCTGGAGGATTCCTGTTCCTTGGGCTCACCATTACTGGCCTGCTGCTGGCTTGGAGACTCTTGAGTCGCCAAGCAGCCAGTAGCCAGGGCCTGGGCAAAGCCTGGGCTGCTCAGGACAGTCTCAGGCCCAACTCAGGCTGGCAGCCACGATACAGCAGCCGGGGCTTCAGCTCCAACCCCCCAGTGGCCACCCTGCCCAGCCCCTCCAAGTCCGACTACGAGAACATGTTTGTGGGCCAGGCAACTGCCAAGCACCAGTGGACGGGACATGGGTGAGTGACCCACAGACATCTGCCTATAGAAGTTAATATTAAGACTGGACCCAGACGGCTGGGGTTCAAATCCCGGCTCTGCCTCTTGCAGGCCATGTGATCTTGGGCAAGTAGCTTCACTTCTCTTGGCCTCAGTCTCCTCATCTGTAAAATGTGGGTAATAACAGCCCCCGACTCAAGGTTTGGAGTAAGAATTAAGTGAGTTCCTGTATATGGGACAAACTTCTCCTTCATGAACTGCAAACCCAGTTTCTGGCTGCCAAGGACAGGGAGAGAGGAGGCAGAGTGTGAGCTCTGCAGTAGCGGTCAGCAGCCTGGGCTCAGATTCCATGTGACCCAAGGGCTTTCTCTCAACCTCCATTTCCACCTCTGTAAAATGAGGACAGTCCCCTCCATCACCCCTTGAAACACATGAGATTCTAAATAGGTCATCGGTGTCCCCTACACCTCTGGATGGCTTTGCTGGTCTTAGATGAGTTCAACTTTTCCAGGTTGGATAAGGAAATGGAAGGAATTTCACGGGGCGGGACCAGCAGGGGTGAAGGTGTGGAGGTGGGCAAGTGCAGAGACCCTGCTGTGAATGGCTTTGGAGAGGGCAAGACACGAGAGCTGAGGCTGGAAGGAGCAGGGAGGATTCAGGAAGGAAGGGGATGCTGTCATGGCTGTGTTTGGGCAGCAGAATCCACGTCAGTTGTTGGGAAGGCTGGTAGGAGGCTGTTCATGAGAACTGCGGAAATATGCAAAGCACATGCAAACGTGGCTCAAAAGCAGAAGTGGTCCATGTAGGGCACTGAGGGCATTGAACTCGCTGAGGCAGCATGTGCTCTAATGCTTGCCTCTGCCTCCCCGTCACCAAGGCTTGTCGACCAACCTCCTTCATGTGCCTGGCCTCCAGAAACGCTCTGAAATGAATGTATCATTTCCACCCTATATTTTACAGTTGCAAAAATGGAGGCTCCAGGAGGCAGGGGAATGACTTGTCCAAGGTCACACAGTGAGTCAGAAGAAGAGGCAAGAGACAAACTTTGACTCCCAGTCCTGTCCATCCCTCTATAACCTCTTATGTGTTCAGAGTAATTCATACTAAAGTGTCAATGACTGATAGATGCCACTTACCCAAAGTAGTCTTTTTTAGAAGAGAAGCTGGGAGTGGGGTTAAAATATTCTGGAGGCAAGAAGGTTCTTCTCTGGAGGTCTTGCCTCCCGTAACTAGACATTACTAAGTAGCTACCTGAACCACTCCTGAGCCAGTTCTATGGATGTAGAAACTGAGGCTCAGAGATTTATTTTTATTTCAGGGCCACAAAGTCAGTTGCTTCGGGAGACCTGGTGAAAACAGGTCCCATCTAAAGGGGCAGATTACTTACTGTTTGACTCCAGCCACTTGCATTCATGTGACTGGTATAGCCAGAGCTTCCGGTTTTTCAAGAGGAAACTGAAATCTGATTTAATGTCAAAATGCACAGCTATCTGAACTTTAAGGAAGGAAACTACCCTACAGTGGACTCAAGATCCCCGGACCATAGTGTTTCAATCTACAGAATCTTCCCTGAATCACTGCCCTGTCCCTACTTCCTCAGAGAAAGGTGGGTCAGGTTGGGAGTCAGAATACTGCACTGTGCCTCAGTTTACTCATATGTAAATATTAGGGGTGGACTCAGCCACCCTGACATTTCTCAAAGCTGACGTGCCTGCCCCCTTCGTCTTTTTCCCCTACCACCCACCCCTCGTGTGTCTGTTCCTGCAGGGCTCACCCTTCAGAGGATGACGACTTCTACATGAACTATACAGACATTGATCTGGCCTCTCAGCCTGTCTACGGCAACCTGCAGTCACTAGACCAGGCCCCACATGAAGAGGAGTATGTGATCCCTGGGCACTGAACCTGCAGTGTCGCGACCTCCACCCAGCCCCCTCTCAGTACATTCCGGGTGACTCAGGATGTTCCATCTCTTCCCCGGCCTCAGTCTCCCCATCTGAGGAATGGGGACAGGGAAGGACTGTCCTTAAGTCCCTAGGAGGCTCTGAAGCCCCCTCCCCAGCCACCATCTGCTCCTCAAACCCCTCAGCTGCTAGAGGGGGAAGAGGAGAGACCTCAACAAGGAAACATGAGGGTCAGTGTGTGAACCCCATTGTCATCCTGCCGGTATGCAGACAGCACTCAATAAATGCTTTGGGGCTGGTGAGGCTGCTGGCTCAGGACGAGTGGGTTCCTTGCAGTGGGGATTTCCTGAGCTCCCAAGACCACATCTCTATGTGAGACTCAGGAGCTTCTCCCCACTCCCCACCCCTCCCCTTTCTTTCTCTCTGGCCCCTTTCCCAGGTGCTGGTCTCCAGGCTTGGTTTTCCCCTCCCCCACCAGGCAGCTCACGCTGGCGCCAGAGGGGTCTTTATAACTCATGAATCATACTGTGCTCCTCCCCTGCTCACACACCCTCCATGGCTGCCCACTGCCTCCAGATTCTCAGCCTGGTGCTTGAGGTCTATGTGATCCAGCCCTGCCCACCCACCACACTGCCCTTTCCCATCCTTCTGCCCTTCCAGTCTGGACCCCATCCTCACCAAGCCCACCTCCCTCCTGAAGCCTTCATTTTCCTGCCTTTGCCCTTGCCATTCCATTCACCCAGAATGCCATCCTCTCCCACTGTTTGTCACTCTAAAACTTTTTATTACAGATGAAGAACTCTGGCTTGGGAGTCAGGAGGCATGGGTCCAAGTCCTGACTCTGCCACTAACTCTCTGGGCCTCAGTTACCCCATCTGTATAACGGTAATTAAAATTGATCTCTAAAGTTGCTTTAGCTATGCTATTCCTTTTTTTTTTTTTTTTTTCCTTTTTTTTGTCTTTTTTCGTGACCAGCAACGGATCGCAACCCTCAGTGTCACACCTGTACCGGGCCAGGACCGGCAACGGGATCGCAGCCCTCGGTGTTGCGCCCACACTTCGCTCAGCCAGTGAGCGGCCAGTCTGTATGTGGGATCCGAACCCTCGGCGGGAGCACCGCCACACTCCCAAGCGGCGCACTGTAGCAGTGCGCCACCAGGCCGGCCCCTAGCTGTGCTATTCTGAGAAAACTTAACTCATCCTTCAAAGCCCAGATGCAATGACACCTCCTCTGAGAAACCCTCTACGGTTCCTTCTCGGGCAGAGTTAGTCACTCTCAGAGCTCAGTGTATTTCAAGAGGTTTTCGAGGTCCTGCAGGGTTTTCTGTCAGCTAGTCTCCGCCCAGCTCCTGCCAAGCCTGCAATTTGGGGGACACAGATGCCCCCAGTCCTGGAAGGTTGAGCCTGGGCAGGAGCAAGGGTTGGGGGCAGGGTCCCCAGAGGGAGACAACTGGAGTTTGAACAAGGCTGTGTGTAAGAGGGAATTGGCAGTGGGTTTTGAAGGATGCACAGGTGTTTGCGAAGTGGAGAGGTAAAGGCACACTGGGTGGGTGGCCAGCTCATGCGAGAGCCCAGAGGTGTAATAAGGGACCTGCCCAGCACAGTACCCGGCAAAAGCAACCACTGATGTTTGGAGAGGGATCAGTGAGACATCTGCTGGCTTTTGGACGATGCTGGTATTGCATTTGATTTTGAGACCTTTTCTTTTCTTTTTTTTAAAAGATGACTGGTAAGGGGATCTTAACCCTTGAGTTGGTGTTGTCAGCACCACGCTCACCCAATGAGCCAACCAGCCATCCCTATATGGGATCCGAACCCGTGGCCTTGGTGTTATCAGCACCACAGTCTCCCGAGTGAGCCATGGGCCAGCCCAGATTTTGAGACCTTTTCAAGCACCATTTCCAACAGGTTTGTCACTGGACATTGAGCTGGTTCCCCCCTCAGGACCTTTACACCTGCTGTTTGCATCTGCCTGGAATGTCCATTCAAGTCTCTCCCTAGTCCCGTTCTTCCTCCAGGTTTCAGCTCAAACTTTGTCCAACCATCTAAATCACCTCTGCCTCTTTCACTAGTGAAACACTTGGGCTGAATCCTCTGCTCAGTGTTCACTTCAGTTGGACACTTTCTTAGGACTTATCTTAGTATTTGTCTCCCTCACTCAACTGAGTGCCACAAGCAGGGTGGTTCTTGTCTGGCTTGTTACTGCTGTGTCCTCAGTGCCCAGCCAAGGTCTGGCACAAAGTGGGCACTCACTGAATACATTCAGGGACACCTGCAGCCGTTCAGGCTGGCCTCTGGATGGTGGCATTCCCAGGGGATGCACTTCACTGCTGGAAGTGGGTACTCTGTCTCCTAGGCCCCTGCCCCAACTCAGTCCCTCTCGGAGATTCAGGGAGGATAGGCAGGTTGGTGTGGGGAGGGGGCTGACATAACCTGTGAGATGGGGTGTGCATGAAATTGTCCTTTGCAACTTATTTATTTCTCCCTGCTTTTTATATGAAAGAATGAAGCTTCATTAACATAGAGGAAGGTGCCATAAACAGGAGGAGGGACTCTTCCAGGTTGGGGGCAGCACCGCAAAAACAAGGCATTTAATTGCAGATGGATTTGGCTCTGTGCTGCCTGTTTGGAAACATGACTCCCATTTGGGGAGAGACAACAGGAAGGTGATGGAGGCAGACCAGATAAACACCCCCTCGCCCCAGAAACAGAAAGGAGTACTGAGAGATGAGGAGAGATGGAGGGAGACAGACCTAAAAGGGCCTCAGAAACAGAAATAGAGAAACAGGGAGATAGGCAGCACCGAGGCAGAGTCAGGGCTGTCCGAGGCTACCCTTGAAGCCTGCAGGTGTCATGAGCACCTTCTTATTGTCACCCATTCCCTGAACCTTCCAGTCATTGCTAAACGAGGTTCCACGAGGAAAATGAGGCCAGGAAAAGGGGGATCTTCCCGAGGTCACCCAACCCCATCCTGGACACCACAGTGGTCAGTTCAGACAGATTCATTTTTACTACGAGTTTTAAATAAATACACATTTCGGTAGACCATCCCTCCAGTCCCCAATAAGTTAATAATAAATACAGACATAAATACAGCCCTTTGGGCGGGAGGGGGCAGACAGCAGTGGGCAGAAATCGGGGTATCAGGGCACGCAGGCCCATTCACAGGCAAGAAGGACTGAGGTCACCGCCACTGCGCAGGCAGGTGCCCAAGGTGGAGGGGCAGGGCCGCTCATGCGCAGTGGCAGTCCTTGGCTATGAGGTCGTCGTAGGTCTGGAACGACACGCCACCGTCGCTCTTTTGCATGATCACCAAGGGCTGGTAGCTGGAGGGGACGCAGCAGGGCTCGGGCACGGAGTCGGGCTTCAGGCCGTGCAGGCGCGCCTTGACCTGCGCGTGCATGCTGGCCGACCGGAACCGGCTCGGGCACGCGCCGACGCACACGCCCACGTGCACCTCTCGCGGCGACAGTACCCAGTCGCTCCATCCCAGGTCCTCGAGCGACGCGCGCACGGTGCGCAGGCGGCAGCAGCGCCCGGGCCCCAGCGGGCAGTCGTCCTGGGAGCGCGCGAGTGCCCAGCGGCGACCCCTGGCGGCGCGCGCCC